TAAAGTTCATGGTATCAGGGGTAGTGTATTGACGTGGATAGAGACAGGAAGCAGAGAGTTAGAATAAACAGGTCCTTTTCAGAATGGCAGGCAGTGACGAGTGGGGTACCGCAGGGTTCAGTGCTGGGACCCCAGCTCTTCACAATAAATATTAATGATTTGGACGAAGCAATTAAATGCTGTGTTTCAAAATTTACAGACGCCATCGAGCTGGGTGGCAGTGTGTGCTGTGAGGAAGATGCTAAGAGGCTGCAGAGAGAGTTCGATAGACTGGTTGAGTGGGTAAATACTTGGCAAGTACAATATAATGTGGATAACTGTGAGCTTATCCATTTTGGTCACAAAAACATGAAGGCAGGTTATCTGAATGGTGGCAGTTCAGGAAAAGATGAGGTGCAATGAGACCTGGGTGTCATGGTGGAACAGTTGCTGAAAGTTGGCATGTAGGTGCAGCGGGCAGCGAGGAAAGCGAATGGCATGCTGGCCTCCGTAGCGAGAGGGTTTGAGTATCGGAAGTAGGGATATCTTGCTGCAGTTATACAGGGCTTTGGTGAGACCGCACCTGAGTATTGTGTGTAGTTTCGGTCTCCTAGTCTGAGGAAGGACGTTTTTGCTATTGAGGGAGTCCAGCAAAGGTTCACTAGACTGATTCCCGGGATGGCAGGACTGACATGTGAGGAAAGACTGAATCAACTGGGCTTGTACTCACTGGGATTTAGAAGAACGGAGAGGGGGGAGATCTCAAACAAAATCCTGATGGGACTGGACAGACTAGATGTGGGAAGAATGTTCCCGATGTTGGGGAAGTCCAGAACTCGGGGTCACAGTCCAAGAATAAAGGGGTAAGCCATTCAGGAGTGAGATAAGGAAGAATTTCTTCAATTAGCAGTGATTCACAAGCAGCTGTTGGGCCAGTTGGTCAGATATATTCAAGGAGAGTGTCAGACATGGCCCTTCCAGCTAAAAAGATCAAAGGGTTTGGAGAGAAAGCAGGAATGGGATACTCAAATTGCACAATCAGCCATGATCATACTGAATGATGGTGCAGGCTTGAAGGGCCAAACTGCCTACTCCTGCACCTATTTTCGATGTTTCTAAGACACTCTCCAATCCACTTGTGAAGGCACTGAGGGACCTAGCTTGCCTTTCCTCTCTCCAGAGTGTTCGTAAAGTTTGTGATGGTTGCTCATTGCTACTGACACAAAGACTACCATAACCAGCCTCAACATCAACAGTGACAGGGAGTAAACAAAAGTTCTGGAATCTGCTCGGTCCTACGGGACAGGAGGTATGCGATGTGCTTCCGACAGGAAACCCATCCTGCCCCGGGAGACAAAGCCACCTAGCTCCGAGGGTGACAGGGAGGGGTCTGCATGAGTCACCTGACCTGCAAATCCAGTCAGGATGGCTATCTTGCTGGCACCACGTTTTCAGCTGGAGGTCTCAGAGGTCAAGAGGATCCTGCAGCAGGCTGTTCGCTTCACCTAACGGTGCATTTGTGAACATATACCCTCCGAGGTTATGGTGGGACGTGGACAAGACTCACATCTGTGTCTTGTGTCAGGATGATGTGGTGTGGGTCAACAAAGAGGTGGAAATTGGAGTAGGAGGTGCTCCTCAGATCCTGCTCATCGACACCATTATCCCCTCCAGATGGATCTCAAAACTCCTCGGTCTCTGCTCCACCCTCTACAACTGGATCCTTAGCTTTCTGACCCATACACCAGTGAAGATAGATGACTGCACCTCCTTCATGATAACCCTCAACTCTGCAGCACAAGGATGTATCCTCAGCCCCCTACTATAGAATGATAGAATCCCGAGTGTGGAAACAGGCCATTCAGCCCAACAAGATCACACTGCCCCTCTGAAGAGCATCCCACCCAGATCCTTTATCCTACCCCTGATTTCTAATGTCTAACACACACAATCTAAACATTCCTGGGCACTATGGGCAATTTAGCATGGCCAATCCACCCTAACCTACACATCTTTGGACTGTGGGAAGAAACCGGAGCACCCGGAGGAAACCCACGCAGACACGGGGAGAATGTGCAAACTCCACACAGACGGTCACCCGAGGGTGGAATTGAACACGGGTCCCTGGCACTATGAGGCAGCAGTGCTAACCACTGAGCCACCGTGTCGCCATACTTCCTATATACCCATGACTGTATAACCAAACTCAGAATGAATGCCATCTACAAGTGACCATTGCCGGAAAATGGCGGTACTTGGATCCAACGTTTTGCACCAGTTAGAGGATGGTCAGGTGTGTGGTGGGATCCTGTCTGTGCATACTCCTGCTTGGATGGAATTTCACATCGGCCCCAGGATCCCGTAATCCATAACACGAGCCACCTCCTAGATCTGGCTTTTAGGCAGGCAAAAACAGATGGCTCTGTACAGAGATAGTAGGAACTGCAGATGCTGGAGAATCTGAGATAACAAGGTGTAGAGCTGGATGAACACAGCAGGCCAAGCAGCATCAGAGGAGCAGGAAAGCTGACGTTTCGGGCCAAGACCCTTTTTTTCTGAAATGTCAGCTTTCCTACTCCTCTGTTGGCTCTGTACAGACTGCTGCGGCACACCAACAACTGCCTGGATGTGCCTTGGAGTGCCCATTGGCCATGGGGATCCCTCAGTGGAGGGCTCTCGAGGTGGGATTCCTCCTCCTGTCCCTCGGGATGGAGGGTGTTGCACACAGCAGTCCCACGTCACTGTGGATTGCCATGTTTCACGGCCCCTCAGGCCAACTTGTTGCTATGTGGGGCTGTGGACAACGTGTACATGGGATGAGAGAGTTTGCACTCCCTTCTCAGTTACCTTCTGCTCTGCTTTCGGTTGCACTTGAGCTCCATGTTCTTGCTCTTTTGGGCACTGGCTATGGACGGGCATGGGCAGGTTGGAAGATCTCTGCGGGTCTGCTCCAGGGCCTGGCCAGGCTGGTGAGAAACGGGTCCAGGCAGTGGGCTGTGGAGGGGGTCATTTCAGCCAACTGCCTGCCTCTCTGTTTGTGCCTAGGTGCCCTGAGAGAGGTGGACACTGCATGCCTTCCACACTCCATGCCTTTAGGGAGAGTGCTTTAATTTCCTACCACTCCATCCCCATTACTATTTAATTCCTACCCTCCCCCTCTCACTAGCATCACCTAAGCATTGCCCCGATTGGGCCTTGCTAGCTCCCAGCTCCCCGACCACATGGCTGTTTTTCCTGGGGTTGGAGAGTAGACTACACAGGAAATTCAGTGAGTCTCCTCATTCTAGGGCCTGGCTCGGAGCTACCTGGTCAGAGCCCATGTGCTGTACACATCAATAAAACAGTGAGTTGGTGACTGGTTTGTGTGGTTTTTTCAGCCACAATCTTATCCAATGGCAGGGCAAGCTCAAGGGGCTGAATGGCCTCCTCCTGTTCCTAGTTTTAATCTTCTTCGCATCTGACTCAATCCAACCTAATGTCCCTGCCCTACAAAAGGATTAGCAGGGTTTAGTGAACCGTTAGAGCTGCTGACAGGCATGGAACTGCCAAAGAATTATTTATTTAACCTGTTCTGGTGGAAATAAAAGCTGAACAAATGCAACAAAGCTCTCCTCACTCACCTTCCAGGCTGGAACAGGTGGTCTCAAGGAAGCTCAGGGCAGGGCCAAAGACTAACACCTTCAATAGCCCTGATGCCGAGGTGGGGAATTTAAAATCAAATGTTCCCAAGTGCTTTATTTTCTTGACAAAAACCTGCTGAGGGCATCTAATAAACCATTAACCTCAACGAATGGAACTGGCCTTCAGAAGGGGCTCCAGAGAAATGCAAGTCCAACTGAATTCACTACCAGCCTCCATCTCCTACATGGAGAGTCACAGAGCCACCTAATGGATCCATCTTAACTCCCTGCCTGATCCAAGCAGGGGTCAGGTAGGTTTGTGTAATCACAGCAAAGCGATCCTGATAGATTCGCACAGCAACTTGTTAAACCTACCCCTGACAGGTTTCCTCATGTGCTAACTGCTCTGACATGACCTTCAACCCCACATGCTTAAAGCCACATTTAAGACAACCACCCCCTCATGAACAGCTCCACAGTGTTCTGTAAACGTTCTCCGATTCCATCACTAACTGTGGGAAAATTCC